CGTCCCCCCCCTGCCCCTCCTGCAGGCCCTGCAAGTGCGGGCACCAGGCAGCCGGGGTTGGCAAGTGGGGCCAGCAAGCGGGCAGCCCCTGCGCTACATGCTCAACCTGTACCGGCGTGCTGCTGACCGTGAAGGGCGACCCCGCCACGGCCGCAGCCTGGGCACCAACACCGTCCGCCTGGTCCGGGCCAGTTCCCACGGGGGTCAGCCCTGGGCAGGTAAGGAGCAGGTGGGCACCAAGGGTGGAGCGGGGGCTTAGTGGAGCCAGTGGGGTGGGCTTGAGCCTCGGGGGGGGTCTCTGGTTGCCTCTTCACAGCGTCCTGGCCAGGGCTGGCACATCCTGTGCCCTTGGCAGGGGGCCCAGGCTCTCCCCACCCCAGGGGCGAGATGGGCAAGGGCACTGCTGGCCCCATATGCCCCTCTCCCCTTCTCATCCTGCCCAATGCTGTGCTAGGCCAGCGGTGTTGGTGCAGAGGATGGGAATTGTCCCAGCTTTGCCCTTCACCCTGACGGTGAGCTGCAGCACATGGCTGCTATTTGCTGAGGCTCCTGCCTCGTGCTGGGGCACCTGGCTGTCATGGGCATTGAGGGTGGTGATGCCACAGGCTTTCCTGTGCCATGCGGGGCTGTGGCAGTACCCTGGGAGAAAGCTGTGCTGTACCTGGGGGACATTGACCACTGCTTCCCCGCAGGTCGCTGGTACATGCAGCCCCTCACCTACCGCCTGGAGGGCCAGCCCGAGGCCGAGCACCTCCTCCGAGCCACCATGGTCTACCTGCCCAGCCTGCCGCTGGCCCGCGGTCGCCTCCTCTGCGCCCTGGAGCTGGCAGCCACTGGTGATGCACCCGGGGCACTGCTCAGCCCTGCCACCCGCCCCCGTCATGGCTGGGCTGAAGCAGATGTCACTCCTTACCTGGTGTCGGGGAGCAGCAGTGCGGGAAGCCTGGCGCTGCGGCATGTCTGTGTGCATGCCGGCCGAGCAGGGGATCGCAATGCCCCAGTGGCCCCCAGCCACCCCTTCCTCCTCCTCTACCTCAATGACACCCAGGCTGGGCTGGCACCTCTGGCAGCAGAGCCCCTCCGGCACCGGCGTGACACAGGAACACTGGCCCATGACCTGCCCAGCTACCTACGGGAGCAGGGAGGGGAGAAGAGTGACTGTTCCCTACGCCCCTTCCCTGTCAGCTTCGCCCAGCTGGGCTGGGACCACTGGATCATCGCTCCCCACCGCTACAACCCGCGCTACTGCAAGGGCGCCTGTCCCCACCTGCTCCGCTATGACTACCATGCGCCCAACCATGCTGTGGTGCAGAGCTTTGTCCATCAGCTGGTGGATGCCAACGTACCCCGGCCTTCCTGTGTCCCCTACCGCTACAGCCCCATCAGCGTCCTCATGATTGAGCGTGACGGCGGCATCCTCTACAAGGAGTACGAGAACATGATTGCAGAGTCCTGCACCTGCCGGTAACGCCTGCTGCCCTGGCACATTGTCCCCACGCTCTGCCTGTCCCTGCCAGATCCGGACTTTAGGGTTTGTCTTGCTCTGCCTGGGGTGGGTTCGTCCCCGCTCCCTGCATGGCACTGTTCTGTGGGAAGGTTTTACAATGGCAGTTTTATGTAAATTGTAGGTTTTTAAAGGCAGGAGCCTGTGCTGGGGCGATTGCCCTGTGGCGTCTGTCCTTTCTGCAGCCCCACGGCCACTGCCTGTTTCTGGGGAGTGGGAGGGCTTGGCTCAATGCTCCCTGAGAAGAGCTGGGTTCCTGGAGTGAAGCATGAAGGTGGCTGGGGGGTCTTCTGGTGGAGCTAGGGCAGGGAGGGTGAACGTTCCAGGTGTCCCTGTGCTTGGCACCAAGCTGGTGTTGTCAGGATCCAGGGCACCCCTGCCTGTGGGATTCCTTCCCAGCTCACATGCACCCCATCCTGTCTAGTCCCAGCTGTGGCAGCATCTCGCTGGGCTGGGGGGGGAAAGCCCCTCTCTTCCCCTGCAGTTCTGCTCTGTGGGGGCTGTGAAAACTGGAGCTGCCAGCTCTGTTCCCAGTGCTGGGGCCAGGCAGTTGCCTGCACTGGGCTTTGCCCACTGCTTCTTCTGCCACCCCTGTCCTTTACCTTCTTGGCTTGCCCTCTAGCAGGGCTTGGGTCTCACCCTGTCCCAGGGGTTGGAGCCCTGTTGTGGTGTCCCTCTGCCTTCTCGCACCCTTGCTGTCCCACAGGGCTTGGGTTCTGCTGGGCTTCCGGCCTGTCCCCATTTCCCACAGGGACTGGTCCCACTACCAGCACCCCTGCTGCCTGGCTTTCCTCTATTTATTGCTGACTGTGTAAATAAATTGATGGATTTTGCTAAAGATGATCTTGGCCTGTTCTTGTTCTGTTCCTGAGGTGCAGTGGGTGCTCCCCAGGACAGGCTGGTGTAGACTGTCACAGTGCAGCCACCTTTGTGCTTGTACTGGAGAGGGTGGATGCTGCCCCCTGTTGTGTGCAGGGAGTAAATCCCAGCTGGTTCAAGCAGAAGCTGGGAGAAGGGGCTCTCCTGGAGCATAGACCTGCCCTGGGGCAGGGTTGACTGGATATGGCTGGGGGCAGCTGCCTCATTGGGGCTGGGGACAAGAGATGCCCCACATCCCTCTACAAGGGGCAGCTGCTGGGGGACCATGGGGAACCAATGAGCTGGGTCTCCCTGGGCTGTCTGTCACAGTGGCCAAGGCATTTGGCTGCCAGGGTTATTTTGGGAAGGTGTCTGCAGGCAAACTGCCTGTTCCTGGGCGCAATGCCCCATGTTTGCAAAGCTGGGGCAAAGTTCCCCTTCTTTGAGCTGTGAGGCATGGGTGGCAGCTGTAATATTTGTCCCCAGTGCTCCGTGGTACTGCCTCTCCAACCTCAGCTCATGGCTCTTGCCAGGATTTCTTGCTTGGCCTCCAGCCCCATCCCTTATTGCTGGTCCAAGCTCCATGGGGATGTTTCAGCGCTTCTTCCCTCCTGTGGGTGCTTGCTGTGGGGCAGGGTGCTGCCAGCCCACATCCCCCTACCCACTAGCCCCAAAGTTTCTCCTCCATCCTGGCGGAGTGAGAAGCTGCAGATCCCAGGTTACTCTCCTGCCCCTTGTCCCTATTTGGCCCCATCCTGGCCACCTCCAGCCAGGAGGCTGTGGAGAGGGGAATGTCTTCTGCTTTTTTGGAAGCTTGTGGACTTGACCCCAGGAGGAAGGTTTTCCCTTGTCAATCATTAAGCATGTGGTGTTGACTCATTCAGGCAAGTGATGATGAAAGGCATGGGAGTGGGGCACGGTCCCAGCCCTGGGCATCACTGGATGCTAGTGCCTGGTGCTGCCCCTTGGCAGGGACCCACACCCCTCAGACCTGCTGGGTGCCTGCAGATGGATGGGCGCTGGGGTTTGTCTGTCCCAGCCCTGTGTCCTTGTACACACTGAGCCAGTGAGCTCTTGTGCTCGTTGGGCTGACCCCTTTCCAGGGAACCCCCAGGCACCGAGGAGCTGCCCCAGCAGTGTGATCTTCTCTGCACTGTTGGGACA